GTATGCACCTGTTATCCGGTTTGAGAGGATTCGTGCGGCCATTTACTTCGCCCTCCAGCGCGGCTGGGTGATCCTACAGTGTGATGTCAAGACCGCTTTCCTGTATGGACATCTCGACGAGCTAATCTTCATGGAGCAGCCTCCTGGTTTTCAACGTGAGCCGGACGTGTTTGTGTGTCGACTGCCACGAAGTCTCTACGGACTACGGCAAGCCCCTAATGTTTGGAACCGCACCCTGCACAAAGCGTTGAAGCCGCTTGGTTTCTCGAGATTGGATTCTGATTACGGTCTGTACGCGCGAAAAGTGGGAGATAATGGAGAGATCTCAATGGTGATGACGGTGTATGTGGAAGATGTATTGCTGCTTGGACCACCAGCTCTGTGTCGCATTTTGCACCGCCGTCCCGTGAGTTCGAGCTGACAGAGCTTGGACCAGTGAAGTACTTACTTAGAGTTGAGATCATGATTGACCCTGTGCAACGGCAGGTGATGTACTGTCAGCGCCAGTACGTGATGGACGTTTTGAAGAGATTTAGCATGGCTGTGTAACGGCTGCATAACGCCAGAGGCAACGTCACCCCAGCAAGTGAGAGCGCCAACTGAACAGACCTATCTACCATACCGCGAGCTAGTGGGAGCCCTACAGTATTTGGTTTCGGCGTCCAGACCTGACATTGCTCATGCCGTTCGCAACCTTGGCAAGTACCTCGGCAACTATACGTACGAGCACTACTTCATGGCGAAGCGCGTACTCCGATACCTGGCACATACCGTTAACTACGGGCTAGTGAATGACATTGGTGATGGTTCGAAAGTGAAGCTGACGTGCTTTATGGATGCGGACTACTCTAATGATGTGGACGATCGCAAGAGCGTGAGTGGATATGTGACGATGCTCGATGGCAATGTGGTATCGTAGGCTTTCCGCAAGCAAGAGATCAATGCTCAAAATACTACCGAAGCGGAGTACGTTGCGATGAATGAAGGGACAAATGATGTTAGGACTGTGTATGAAGTTGAAATGGGAAGTTGAAGGACCTGTGCTTTGTTTGGGGATAATCGAGGAAGCATCTTCTTATCGGATAGGCCAGGGAAACACTCAAAGACGAAGCACATAGAGAACAAGTATCATCTTGTCCGTCATCTCGTTGAGGAGAAGCTACTGAAGACGGAGCATGTTGGGACGAACGACATGGTGGCTGACGTATTGACCAAAGCGCTTAGTCGTGTGAAGTTTGAGCGTTGCCGCGAGATGCTGAAGGTTCTGCCACTACAGGAAGAGTGAGAAGATAAGTGGTGATTCAGTGGGAGTTTTGCGTTACTGTTACTCCTACACTGCGAAGAATGGCTATTGCCTGGGCAAGCGCTGCCCTGCTGGACAGAAGGCGTCTTAGCACTGCAGCTAACACTGTTAGACGATCACGGGCTGCATCAAAGCGATGAAGCGCCGTGTTCGAGTGGGAGTGTGCAGTATGGTCCTGGGAGCTCGCCTGAGCCGTCGCCCGCTATGGTTCCAGACCAACTCGCAGGATTTGTAGGATAGGGGCTCCTGCAGCCAATCGTTTTCTAACCCCTTATGCAATATACTCTGGAGGGCTCGCTGCTGTCGCCGTACAGCACTTCTGAATCCGAGCTCGTGCCCTCCTGCTAGGCCTTCTGCCCAGCAATCCTCAGTTAGTGTTTGAGTATGGTTAGCACGCGAAACAATAGCTACCACGCACACTCACAGGTTATGAGCCCAACGCGGGCGCGAGTCTCGGAGAGTGAAGGACGTTCTGATAGCTCTGCAGCAGAGCAGCAGCCAGTGCCAGTCTCGGCAGACGAGACGCTCGTACAGGCGATTGCGACCGCCGTTGTTCGCGCACTAGGTGCGGTCCAGACTGGCCCACAGCAAGTTGGTGAAAATCAACCTGACAGGCGACCCGTCCGAGAAATCTGCCTCCCCTCTCCCAGACCACAAAGAAACTTGGACGCTGAGCTCACAGCATCGCTCACCCCGTACGGCACAAGCTTGAACGCGCCGTTCGATCCTCGAAGCCCCTCCCCTAGTGCTTACGAGCCCGGCACGAGGACGTCGGACGCCACGACCACCAAGAGCGACACGATGGGCACGTGGCAGATGAGCAAGATCCAGCTGGCCTCGACGAAGTTCGACGGCAAGATGGAGAACTGGAGTCGCTGGAAGACAGAGATGCAGACGATCTTTCACTGGCAGGGCCTCCTGCAGCTGGTCCAAGGCCGTGAGGAGTAGGACCAAGCGCGTGCCAACTGCAGCCAGGAATGGAAGAACTGTTACGAGACGCGTGAGCGCAAGGCCCACACGGAGGTCGTGTTGTCGCTTCACGGCGACCTGTTGGATAGCTTCAAGAGCGACATTGAGAGCGCGCGTCCCGCCCAGCTATGGACAGCGCTGCTTCGCACCTACGATGGCTTGCAGGCCACCAACTCAGTGTACTTGAAGCAGGACATGTACTCACGCCGCCTGAGGCAGGGCGAGGGCGTGATGGACTACGTTAGCGATCTTCAGCGCATGCGACGCGAGCTGGAGCGCATGGACGTATCGCTCCGTGCAGGAGAGATGGCTAGCATTGTGTTGTCACATGCAGTGAATGTGTACCCATCGATTGCTAATGAGCACACGCAGCGTGTGTCTCGTTTACGTGGAGGTTACGACCGTGACCAACGTGTGCAAGATTCCGTCAACCTTCTACTCGTCGCCGAACGAACTGCTCAAGAACATCGAGATCGTGGTAGCCATGATGATGGACGTGGTATTCAGCGCCAAGTGAACGTCGTGACTCACCACGGTGCTGGTGGCAACCAGCAGAACCAAGGCAATAACAGACAACAGCAAGGTGGTAAGCGCCGCCACAGTGGTAACAACGGCCAAGGCAACTCCAA